GGATTTGATCAAAAAAATTGGAATTGAGCATTAAGACCTGCAGTGTGAACGTAGCCTTAGTGTTACATTGCGTTTGGGAGCATTGTCATGCTAAAAGGTGAAACCATTACCGATCAGACACGTTCCAGCTGGTGTTGGATGAAGGATCAAAATCTGATTGCACTTTTCTGTGTTGATACTTTCATCAAATTTGACAACACCAACACCTCTGACTGAAAAACAGCCCAAACCATGACAGTTGTACCTGTGTGTGTGTGTGTGTGTGTGTGTGTGTGTGTGTGTGTGTGTGTGTAGTGGTGGTTTTGTCTTAATATTTCAAGCTAACAGGAAGCAGGAGACATTAGGTGACAGTATCAGTATCAAAAACATATTTATATCTTACTGAATTTCCTGCATTTCATTTCAGTCTTTGCCTGAATCACCTTTTCTTTTTTTGTATGACAAACTTTTGAGCCTCGATATTCTGAAATATATCGGAGTTTTAATAGAAAAGAGTCAAAGAGAAAGGCCATGCAGTGATTATATACTTGAAAATCCTGAAATAAAAATATTTGAGGAAAAAAATGCTTTATGCTACGTCACGAAAGCCAATCAGCTGGGATTCTGCCCCACAGGCTGTGGATTCGCCTGACGCCACTGATGTTCAGAAATAGAGAACAGGCTTACCAACTGTGGTTACATTTTGCTTTTACAGAGTCGGAGGAAAAAAATGAAAGGCATCATGGTCAAGTTTTGAAAATCTGTTTCTGTAACTTGATTTCAGCTCTCTTGGTCGTGCTCCTCTTGCCCCGTTGGCTGCTGGAGCGACTTTTTGTGGGTTTGATGAAAACACACCAACTGTGGACAGCTACCCTGACAGGATGTTGAGGACCAGGGGAAAAATATGAACTGAATTAAATTAAGTGAGTGATCTTTTTTTGTTTTTCTCTAAACTGAATCTTAATCATTGACTCTTAAGCGAGCCTCCTGCAAATATAGAGCTGTTAGACGTAAACAAAGGCCTACCTCGCACATCTGGAGCTGGAAGAGACGCCGTTCCTTCTCCATCTCCTCTGCGATTTCGGCCCCGGTGATCTCGGTGCGGATCATCCCATGCTGCTTGGCGTGCTCTCGCTTCTCCTTCTCTATCTTTGTACTGACAAAAAAACCCCATGCCTAATCATTACAAGGGCTACATTTCTAAATGTGACCTTTATTTGTCTTTCACATTAGGTTTGTGTGCTGTAAATTCTGTGATACTCTTTAAGGGGCCCTGCAGAACTGCTGTAATGTCGATTGCTTGACTCATAATGACAAACAGCGCAGATACAACAGCACACTTAAGTTATCCACTTACAACTTGGCTTCGTAGTCCTTCCACGCTTTGTCAAAGGGCTTCTTTATGTCCTGCAGAAACACAGAAGAACAAGAATCAGCAAACTACAAAGGAGGTCACAGGAGGGACGGAGTTATTTGAAGAGTTGGATCGCTGCTTGAGGCCCAGCAAATGCTTCACTACACTCTCGATTTATGGCCTCAATGCCCAACGAGCACCCACGCCCCTCCTTGTACCTCAAACATCAAGAGTTCATGGCCCAGTTATTCGCCTTAAACAACACAAAAGCAGTGTTTACTTCAGCGAGATTTACAGTGTGATCTTTAGTTTCTTCTCTAAACTCCCCCATCTATCCTCCAAGTCTCTTAATCACAGGCACGCAACTTGAAATTGATAGAGAGATGGGCTGACCGGCCATCTATCCCCCTGCCCCACTGAGATGTACTATTAGGGGCCCTGGAAGAGTCGAGAGAGAGAAAAGGAGGAGGAAGAAGAGAAATAGTTTTATAGTAAATCTTACCCCTTTCACGCCTTTCAGATCACCCTTCAGCAGCGAGTCTAGGGTGAAGATCACATTGTGGCTGAGGCTTTGGAGCTAAAAGAGACAAGAGGAGGAGGAGGGAGAGGATTTATAATGAGGAGAGAAAACATAGTTCGTATATCAAACCATAGCGTCAGAGGCAGACGTTAAAGGGACTGCCAAGTAAAACCACAAAAAGAACCAACAATGAAATTCTATTACAAACAAGTATTGTCTGTGCAGCCAGAGTTCGATATAACTCACTCCGCTGTGCCACAGATCTGTCCAAAAGTATTAAAACACCGGGTTAAATGTTCCTTACTTATGAGCATAGCAAGTCTAACCATAAATACACTGTAGGTTACAATCCTGCTACTAAACCTTCAGCCATCAGAGGACCAAATGTTTATTTACTGCAATCCACAGCTGAAAACAGACCCTGCTAAATTCTTGGGTAACTATAAAACTGCAGCCCCCAGGTACATTTAGGACGACTCATACTATTACACCACAACTCATGCATTGTAATTTTATCCCATTGCCAGGTTATTGCTAGGCAACGTGATGACGTCATAATATAGTTAAGGACTTTCAGGGTCCTAAGATGTACCTGTGTGCCAAGTTGGGCTGTTGAACACGTGATTGAGTAGGACGAGTTGCAAACAAAGACAAAGTAACACACATATGATAGAAAAATATTGCAACAGACATGTCGGTATTAGCTAATATGATGTCCAACAAGTGCCGACAGCATACTCAACGTTACACACAGGAAGAAACTTGGGGTAAACGCCGCTGAATGGTGTCAGCACATTGTTGACAAGCAGAGCAGTTTCATTGTTTCAAATGCTCTCGGCAGAATAGAATCACAGCTGTGCAGATACATTAAAAAATGGGATCAGCATCCGTCGCCCTTAAAAAAACAACGCAGTAATAGTCTGGCTGTACACATCACACATCACACAACACCAACAGTAAGGCTTAGACACATTTCAGGCTGCCTGGTGAGTGTTACTGTGTCCACAGGATCTCTCACTTCTGTGTTTCTCGTTCATTGTCTACTGCCTGTGCAACGCATCCAGAGATGGGACATCTGCATAAACTTATTTTATGCAAATG